TTCTTGTTCACTATACAAAACATCTTAAAACTATAGTCAAAAGGTACAACACAATAAACACTTTATCTTCCGCTATCCAATAAGCCTCCTCCATCAGAACGGGATCAGCTTCTAGTGGTTTCATTGTATGGCAGTATCGCAAACGGGGGCAGAGCACTACCATTGCAGCAATAGACGCAAAACGTGGTCAGTACTCACTTACTCATCACTAAACGGTTGCTTTCCAAAGTCGACGACGCATCGATCGAAAGAACTGCTGATGGAGAACAATGAGACGGACCACACAATGCTTGCTGCCGAGTAAACAGACGATCACGTGAGACACATCGATAGTGGTCTGCTTCTGTCGACAGCTGAGTTAACACTGCAGCACTTGAACTGTTCGGTAAAATATGTCAATTTTATTGATTCATTAAAGAGTTTGAAATTCTACAAACTTTTTCTGCTATGCAAAAACCAGTGAAAATTATGTCTCCAGTAAAACTATCTATGTGTGAGATGTTCTTTGAAGAATTATAGTTAAAATTTTGGATATGTTTTTCAAAAGAAATTTGATGAGATTTTGGAATTAATTCTAGGGTTAACACCAAGGTAAAAATTCCAAGAGAGTTTAGGGAAGAACTCTAATATAGTTTTGACTAGAACTCCTAGTGAATTGTGTGAGTTTAGAGTAGAGTTTTTAGTAGCTCCATGAAAAATTTCAAGTGAAGAGGATTCCAGGATCCGTGAAAATACCAATGGAATCGAATTTTGAGGGTACAATTACAAAAGAATTCTGAGAAAAGTTTAAGTCAATTCCGAGGATAATTTCAAGGGCATCTCGGGAAGAATTGTTTTTGGCGAAATTCATGGAAGTGAATTTTTGGAAGAATTTAGACTATGGCATGAAAATTCTAAAGCAAATTCAAGTGAATTTTAAATAGAATTATTTAAGGAAGCTTCCGTTAATTCCAAGAAGTCATGAATTCAATGAAAATCTAAGGATTAATTTAATGATTTTTTTTATTGTTCCGCAGAGAATTTCTGGATTGTTAAAATGAAATTTTATATTTTATATGAGAAAATCTCATAGGGTAAATGATGGCTTCAGCAGCCATCGACTGTTTTCGGCAACCACAATTTAAACGTTAATTTCGAAGTATTTTCTCACTAAAACACTTCGCTGAATGTATTTAAACGATTCCTTAGTCTTTCAGCTTCAATCCTAATACATTTTTACGACTCAGCAAACCTGTTATGCTAGGTGTTTCTTCAAAAGAAACATAAGCACATCAAAATATGGCTGATTTCTAGTTGCCGATAATAGAACAGCTGGTTAACACGCAGTTTAAACGAAAAGGTTGCCGAAGTAAAAGAGGCTGCCGACAATAGTCACACTCACCTGAGAAGTTTGGAGCGCCTTAAAAACGTTTTCAAACCGTTTTGAACAGTTTTGTTGATTGGAATGGATAGAATAGCTAGCAGCAGATGAATGTAAACAAACAGACACGTCATATGTGTGCGTGACACTGAGAAAATGCTAATAGAAGTGCGGAAGCTGCTTAGATTGACGAGAATACGTAAATTCCCCTATTTCTTTAAAAATAATTCTGAAGAATAATTCAAATTCCAAATTTCTGGGAAAAACGGGAAAAACCAGAGAAATTTACAATTGGGATTCACTGGTCACCATTGTTTTACGGCTACACAAAATTAAAACTCCATGGCAAGATTTTTTCACTTGAATAAGGTTGAACGTGTTTTGAAATTATGTTTGAGTAAAATACCCAAGTAACCATAAGCATTAATAATTAACTGTATATCAACTTCAATCAAGCATTCGTTATACCCGGAAACCGTAGATCAGCAATTATCTGAACTACAAGCAATTTCACAGCATGACAAATGCCACCAAGCATTATGTTAATCAAGTGCCGCCAAGTAGTTTTTCTGGCCCTATAATCACATATAATGCAAGTAATTGAGGCTTAGAAGTCAGAGAACTTTTGTTGCTTGAAAGCTTTCTATAAAACCGAGTTGATGTTATGATCTGTCATTTCAAGTCGGGTTCATTTTTTCTGAAAACAAATCATAGGGAAAACCACAACTGCAGAATATCTCCACCGCTAAAAAAGGAGAAAACCAGGAACAGATCATCACTACTTCAGCAGGAAGGCCGTCTAGAAAAAGTGGAAACGAAACTCGTGGCGAAAGGAGTTTCCTTAGAATGGGTGGATAAAAGTCTTCCGGTAACGGAGCCGAAGGATCGGAATGATTTGGATTCGATAACTCGTTGCTGTAGGAGTTTTGCGGTTTGCCGGTAGAAGAATTTAACATCATCGGGTGGGATCTCCGTGTTCGATGTTATCCTTCTTTATTTTGTTTAGCGTAATTCCATCAAGTCGCCTTAATTAAACCTGATATATGCTTTTCGCCAATCTAAAACAGCCTTCATCGCATCTTCTCCCATTCCAAGTATCTGACTATCAAAGAGCAAACATCAATATCACTCTTTAATATCATCTAGTACGATCATAGACAGCGATCTCATTGACCTAGCTAAAAATAATCACTAAACTTTGGTCCTCTGTTCGAATCTTAAAATCAATACAGTAAAAAAATCTATATAAACCAAACAGCAAGTGTATGAATGAAAGAGATGGAGGGATAAGCCACCAATTTTTTTTGTTTTGATTTGCTGCTTTTTATGTCGGTAAAACAAAAGCATGCATTTACTTCTTCTTGGTTTGACATTTCTCTCCTTTCTCGGACTTTAACCGGCATTTGAGAATTTTATAAAGTTGGACGGCTGTAAATGAACGAAAAATGCGCCTGTAATGCTGAAAATGTGCAGCCTATAAGTGCTTGATGGTTACTTGGGTACGCTTTAACATGAAGGTTAATTTTGTTGTTGTTAAGATGTACCGAACACGTCAATATTTTCTTAGTGAAAATTACGACGGTATTGAATTCTGAAGATAGCTCCAAATTGAATGTATGACAAATTCCAAGGTAATTCTAAAAATAATTTCAAGTTATTTTTGAAGAGATTACCACGGCAATCGAATTGAAGCTTACAAATTATATTTATTTTTATGGGAATTCCGAAGATAATTCGAAGGGCATTTCGAGAAGAATATAGATAATTCTGTTCAACGTTTCAATACATTTTCAGGAAAATTTCATTAAAATTCGATGGGGAAGTCAAGCGAATTATGGTAGGAAGCTTCACTGAATTTTTGACACAATTATTAAAAATTCGAAGTTAATCTTAGGATGAATCTAATGATTTTTTAGAAGTGTTCTGCATTTTATAGACTGAATATATGGATTTAATGGATTTAAAGAACTTTGTGAAAAATCATGGTTTTATAGTAAATTCGTGTGACAATTCTTAATAAATTATAAAGAGAGTTCTATACGAATTTTCAAGGTAATAAATGCTTAGACAAATTTTGCTGCCTTTGTAATGACTCATTCAACCTTGTGATCCTTTCGGTCAAATTACATTCAAAATTCTGCATAATATTAATGTATATCGCACAACTGGGAAAATGCATAAAAAAAATCGAGTTGGACCCTACTTCGAAGCGGTTCAAAGAATATTTTATCTAGGAAAAATCACTTTTAAGGGATTTTCCATAAAAAAAAAAACATCCAAAATCATGCAGTATTTCACATATAATTCATGTTTCTGCAAGAAATTTTGAATGTTTTTAAGAAAACATACTTATATACTTCTAATCGTGGGATGTGGTGGGAAATGGTAGTAAATCGTAATTATGTGGCTAAAAAATTATATTTTTGGAGCAAATCCAATAATAACTTACCTACTTAGCGATCTAGTGTGATATGATATTCATCAAACTTATGTGTATTAATGTTTTGAACAATTTTGTAGAACATTTCAAACCAGTAGAAGTTTAAAGAAATAAATTATTAAGTAGAAACTTTTATTAGGAGTTTTTCCACCAAAAACGTTCCTTATTTCAATGAGATGAAGAAATAGCCACCTAGTGTCTTCAGCAAACTTTCTTGTTTTGATATTTTCTAACAGGTTGCCGAAGACACCGAACCGAAATATGGAAGTTTTGGAAAAATAAATTTTGAATATCACTTCTAGGAGAATTAATCATTGATTTGTCAATGTCAAAAGAAGGGCCTTTTATATCCAGAAACTTTGCTGAAGACACCACTAGTCTAAAATGCAAGAATCATGAAATAATGACTTTTGACCATATTTTCACAGTTCTAGACCACTGTGCAGCGGCATGTTCAGGACAATCAGAGGTTATTAAGCTTGATTAAGACAAACAAAGAAGAGAGCCCACTGTTGTCGGGCTTAGGTGGTAAACCACTATCACTATCATAATCATTTGAGAATTTTATGAAACAGTTGTACTGCCGTTATACGCATAAGAGTCCCACGGTGCTTAAGGATTGCATAGAACATGGGACAGTTATGCGTATAACGGCAGTGTAGCTAACATAATTTTAAGAACTTAAACAAGTTCACTTTCGTTGAGCTTTAGTCTTATGGCGACATCTTATGAAATATCTATACAAAATTCATTCCAAGCTATATTTACATCATCCAGTTCAGATCGCCGCAAGTGGTAACAAAGCTATGCATGCCATAATATCCATCATTTCCATTTCAACCTGATTAATTATGAAACGGTGGGCTTCCAATCTTTGCCCGATATTTATAGCCATTTTTTTCGCTTCCAAATCAAACGAAGGCATAACCTTGAACAAAAGCACGCAGAAAGCCGCTTCCCCATAATGCAAACGCAAACTGTGGTCACGTCCACATAACTCACATCCAAATCACCATCATCATTCGCCCGCTCTCAATCACTCATGCCTCCTACCGGAAAGGAAAATTTTCGCGCTTTATGTATTTCGTGTACTTCACTCACCTATCAATTCATTTCTGTATGTGGATGTTGAAACCTGTTCCATTCTAATCGACATTCCTACCTTCTTCGATCAATACACGTGCCAATCGCTAACCGCAGGCTTCCAAGAGCAAGAAATCCAAAAAGGCCGACTTCATACCCTACCGTGACTCAGTCTTGACATGGCTGCTGAGGGAAAATCTCGGTGGCAACTCGAAAACGGCCATGATTGCCGCGATATCGCCGGCCGATATCAACTACGACGAAACACTGAGCACGCTGAGGTGAGTCAGTCGGAAAAGTGGAAAATCAATCGATGATTGTAATACATTTTCCATTTGTGTGCCATCCTGACAGATATGCTGACCGTGCCAAACAGATTGTCTGCAAGGCCGTCGTCAACGAGGACGCCAATGCGAAACTTATCCGCGAACTCAAAGAGGAGATTCTGAAGCTTCGCGAACTGCTCAAAGCCGAGGGCATCGAAGTGCAGGAAGGTAAGTGACTTTTGATTGATCGTTGCTCTTTGGAGTCATGTTACCCAAAATCACAATCAAAAATCTATTAGTTTGAATCACCAACCACTACCACCATCCACCCATCCATCCACCAACCGAACATGCTCGGTCCGGGCTGGAACGTTTCCAGATCTGATCGAGACACGCGGTAGTGGAATCTGAAACCTCTTTTCAAACTTTTGGTTCTATTTTCTTGTTGACTGTTTTTCGGCCCTTTCCTTTTTGTTTGTTTGTTCCGGACGAATCGCTCACCTAAAATTTCCTTATTTATGAGTTACCATCACCGATCACTTGAAAAAATAAATTTATTTTATTTTTCATTGGTAGCAAAATTCAATTCGTTAGGGTTCACTCAGTAACACGTAATTTCAAAGTAAATTATTAAATTTCAAACGAATTAAACACATTGACGTACACTTTTCCTGTAGGACCGGACGTTAAAGTGGTTTGTGAAAAGCGAGATGCTAATAGTAAGTAGAACGTCGAATGCTAAGCAAATCACACGATAAACCACTCAACTATTATACATTCTCGTTGGTTTCGCTTCCACAAAGTTTTTGTTTTTTTTGTATACTTTTATTTATTATGTCATCCTTCAAAGTACAATTCGACAGTACTATAATCATATGTTGTTTTTTATTTGGTTTTAACAAAGCGCGTTTATTGTCGGTATGCTTTTTTTATGCTACCAATAAATGATTGGTCAACTTACTCAGGAAATTGCTATAATATAAAAACACCTGAAGGTTTGCCAATTTAAAAACAACTTTATGGTTAAATTATTCTGCAGAAACTAGCAATATTAGAATTATCGACGTTCTGCTGGAAAATTATCTTATTTTTCAGCTTTCGATCATATCTTCATAACAATAACCAATGCTGTCAATGTTAATAAACAATTTCATGCCGTACCGTAAGCGCTATAATTTTCGCAAGTTTGTGTTTGTAAATTATTCAATACCATCATTTTTTTGGCTATCGTATACTCAATCATTCATACGTTTTTAATCGGTGTTCCTTCCGCATAAACACATAATTTATTGTTTCCGAAAACAAAACAAAATATCGATCAGCCATAACAATATAGATAAACAGCAACCGATCACAATCAGGGTTGGACAAAAATTCCAGCTTCATCCCCTCGCACATATCGATTTGAAAATGTTTGGTTCATTTCCAAATTATTGCTTAGTATACGCGATCAACAATTATTGGCATTCATTTCGCAAAATTTAACCGATCCAAATCATTTCTAATAATAAATGCTAGATTTTTGATCAACCCTAACTGCGTACATAATAAGTCGAAACAAAAAATCAAATATTATGGTTGATAATCCAACCACATAGCATTGAACTATGATTACGTTACGCTTTCTGAACACATAAGAATGATAATTAAGGTATACTCTAGCTTTCGTAAAGGATTCATTTCGCTTTCTATATCGGCGATGTCATTTCCAGCTCTTAATTTCCTGTCTGTTTCTATCATTTCTGTTATTGTTGTTCCTCTCCCTGTTCCGCGCTTGGCGCAATCAAAGACTATTATCGCCTCACGGCTAACATGATGGCTTTTGGTTTCATTTTACTTATTCTCCATTTTTGTTTATCTATTTGTTATAAATAGCCATAAATATCGTTTACTCTATACCTATTCAAATAAATACCCACGCAAATGATAAAATAAAGACATACGTACATAACTGGATGTGGCTTTACATGCTTTTTGCCAATTTCCGCTGCATCGTCCATGCTTCCGATATAAAATCACATGGTTACACGGCTTCCATTAGGCTCACTATTTGTTTGAATTACATACAGGGTCGCGTAAATCCGAGAGCTGCACAGTGATTCGTCGCAATGGAAACCACATAGAATATTTGTAATGTTATCTTGGCTATCGTAGCTCTCGAGGATGCGTTTCCTGCTTCTGTTCGGGACATAATCATTGCGTTCTATTTTGATAACTACCTAAGAGAAGAGGAGACAATACGGGGGCGAAAACGAACCACTTTTCAAAAGAGTAAGAAGCCAGTTGTCTCTTCTTCCTCTTAGATACCTACCGGTGTATTTTATTAATGCAAGTCATTATAGGGGAAATGACGGCTTCGGCATGACAGACTATTTTCGGCAACCCAAATTGAAACACTATTTTCACTGGATTTTCTTATGAAAACACTTCGCTGAATGCATGCAAACGATTCTTTATGCTTTCAGCTTCAATTTGACTATATTTTTACCACTGAGAAAAAGCAATCTAGCAAGGTTTTCTTGAAATGCAACACACGCACTACAAATTGTAGCTGATTTCGAGTTGCCGATAATAGAACAGCAGATTTACATGCAGTTCAAATGGAACGGTTGCCGAAGAAAAACTGGTTGCCGACAATACTCGCTCTCACTAGAGAAGATTGGAGCTTTGTAAAAGCGTTTCAAAACAGTTTTTGTCAATTCTTTCGACTGAAATTGTTAGAGCAGCTGGCAGCAAAAGATTGTAAACAAACCAATACTGCATATGTGTGCGTTCCTTAGAGAAAAAGGCTATAGAAAGAAAGTCGCTGCTTAGGTTGCCGAGAATACGTAAATTCCCCTACTACATCGCTTTTGAGAAGTAATAGTTAATGGCACGGAATGATTTAACCTCACCTTTTTGACAGTTCTGAGTGCTTGCTTACAGATTTTGTTTAGAATTTTTTTCATTGTCGTTTTTTCAGATTATGGTCGAACTGATTTTGAAACTCTTGTAAAATTTGCAATTGTGGATGTCCTCAGGTTGTAATACTTGAATTTAGATCATTTCTAGCGATGCCATAAAAAAAGCTTAAGTCCCTGTGGAACAAGCTCCCTGAACTGTCAAAACTGTCGGGATGACATCATCGTGCAATGATCTATAATAGTAGTCGGTTTCGAACACACTTATTATTATTGCGCTTATGTCATTTGGTGACGGTCGAAACGCGCCGCTCATAAGTGCGATGAAATCCCGCCCATAAGAATTATACACAGGTGTGTAACTTAGATAGTATTTTATGGCAGCGGCTTGAGGAGCGAATCCTGGATAAATAGCCGCCGTGTGTTAAATCAATGGGCGCAGTCGTACGGCCATAAATAGAAAGCATGTGGTATAATCCCATTCTGAGAAATTATCCTGCCACACGCAATATTTTCCTAATTCACGCAAAGAATGATATTTACACTCAAAAAAATCTTCACGTTAATGCTACGGGACAAATCATGCACAGTCTGCGATCAGTATAGAAACGTGGACTCCCACATTTATGTATTAGATTAGGTAAGCAATGAAGTAAGTGGTTTACGCTTTGTATTTTACTACTACTGTTTTTATAAAAACAATATTCATAAAATATTGAGCTTGCAACAGAGAGCTCTAGTAAACAAGTGAGGTAAAAACAGGGCTGGTAGCAGGGTTACTTCCACTCACTTCGCTATAAAAAATGTTTTTCGAAATAAAGCCTCTCGTCGTACATTGACCAAGGTTGCTAGGGCTCTGGTTGTCCCTAGCATCCTTTACGGTGCGGAATTGTGGAGCAGGGGTGGTGTCTCCCTGCTCAAGATTCTGGAACCTCAGTACAATGAGGCGTACATAATTTGTAGTGAAGCGCTGCAGCGCGTTGAGGTCTTCACCAATACCTTCCCTGTTGGTGGAGAATGGCAAGGTACCTTTGGTGAATGTTATCACCGAAGACCTGGCCACTCAGGCGCTGAAGTTATTGGAAAGTGATCCCATCCTCAATGACAGGCCCACGGTTGCAAGGGTGAGAGGATGGTGAAGCGACTTAACAGGAGTAGATTGTCCCACGTTAACCCAGCGAGTTAGGTTGTGGCAACGGGCATGGGATGCTACTGCCCCGAAAGTTGATTGGAGGGTTAAAGCTATGTGCGGGGTGGGGGCCAGTTCTGGTGTGGCGAAAGTTGCATTCAGGAAGGTTGCTGTCTCATTCGAGAGAAGACCAATGCTATACACGGACGGTTCTTTGTTCGACGAGGAAGTTGGCTATGGGGTGTCTGGGGAGGTCATAAGCCGCTGCGGCTGGTTATCTGCTCTCTGTGGTATCTTCTCAGCTGAGGCCTATGCTCTCCTGCTAGCAAACGGGTCTCAGGCCGTTGTATTCTCTGACCTGCGAGTTGTCTTTCTGCCCTTGAGCACGGGCAGGTTGGACACCCGTGGTTGTTGGAGGTGCACCGGTACGCTAACATAACCTTTGTATAGGTACCTGGATACGCAGGTATACCAGGGAATGAGGCTGCTGATAGACTAGCTAATCAGGGTCGTCTTGCTCAGCTAGAGGTCACTTCGGTGCCCTTTAGTGACGCTACCCGCTAGGTGAAGCAGACTTCGCGATACGCATGGAATGTATCTTGGCATAACAACCGTGATGCATTCCTGCGTAGAATCAAGAACACTACACAAGAGTGGAAAGATGTACCCAATTCTCGAGATCAGAAAGTTCTGACTCGGCTGAGGATTGGTCATACACGGCTCACTCATGGACCTCGTTTTAGCGGCAGTGTGGCCTACTACCAGGGATGCGGTGCGGTTTTAGATGTAAATCATCTATTGGTGGAGTGCCCAGCTCGAGCACAATTGAGGGAAGAAATGAGTGTCGTTGGTTCGCTGTTTCGAAGATATACTGTATTTCCTTAACCTTTCCCGTTTCGCTGAGTGGAAGAGTCTGTATCCGATGAATCATGAAAGGCGGCCATTTTCTGCTGGAACGTGCATAGGGGATAACTTTTTTTGGTGCTTGTTGGTTTTCTGTAAATTTCGTATTGAAGCAAAGAAGATGATGACGATTCCCTGATGACTAGAAGATCGATTTCTGTCTTTTTCTACCTCTACGTCTATCCTTGTGAATTCTGTTCATCTCGTCTAAAATTTGTGGAAGGGTTTCCCGTTTAACTACGCTGAAGATATCATCGACAAACCTCCACCAACGGTTTGGTAATAGTCCTTTCTCCTTCAGGATTGTCTCCAAGTTAGCCATGAAAGGTTCAGACAGGAAGGGGGATACATGGGGATATAAATTTAAGGTACCAACCAAACTGGTTAGGTAAATGTGACATGGCAGTTGGATACCTGTTGATTTATAGTACCTAATGATTAGTATAAAAGTCGTAGATAAAAGATAGATTCTTCAGAGGTGTTGAGCAGTTGATGAAGTCTACAAACTAGTAGTGGAAGACATACGCGAGTCAAAATATAAGCAATTATAACAGAATTAATAGGAAATTAATCAACACACTCAAAAAGCTCTTCATAATGGTATTCCGTTAAGAGGTTCGACAAAATTAAAAGACTTAGACGATCGATAGATAGAGCTTTGGAATGTTCTACAAAGTTGTCAGATTATAAATTATCTACCTAATGATAACATTATTCACGCTTCCGGTTTTCTTTATTCCATGATGGCGACTTCCGGTTTGTGGAAAACTGTCAAACACTAAACAATATGGGTATTTTCGAAACTGAGACGATGTGTAGAGGCTGAAAATCGATGTTTGATCCCAGTTTGGAATCCAATATGGCGACTGCAGGTTTTCTAAAATCCAATATAACGACTTCTGGTTTGTGGAAAACTTTCAACTGTGACACAACAATATGGATATGTTGAGAACGGGGACAATGTGTGGAGGCCGGAAATCAACGTTTGACGCCATTTTGAAATTCAAAATGGCGACTATCGTTTGTTAGAACTGTGAAACAACAAAATGGGTATTTTTGGAACGGGGACGACGAGAAAAGCGCGGAAATTGGTGTGTGACGCCATTCAAGATGGTGACTTCCAATATGGGTATTTTTGGAACGAAAACGACGTACAGAGGCCAGAAATCGATGTTTGGCGCCATTCTGGAATCTAAAATAGCATCGTCCGGTTAATATAAAAAAAATTAAATACCCATCAAGAGACCGATAATCTACGTTAGATGCTTTTTTTTATTAATCTAGAATAGCGACTTCCAGATTTTTGAAGTCCAAAATGGCGACTTGCAGACTGTTTTAAACTGACAATATAGATATTTTTTCTAAACTGAACAATATGGATATTCCGGGAGCGGACCATGTGTAAAGGCCGGAAATTTCACTTTATTTTGGAATCCAAAGAGACAAATTCCGGCTCTAAAAACCTGTTAAGTATCCTACAATATGGATATTCTAAGAACTGTGATGACGTGTAGAGGTCGATAATCGTTGTATGGCCCCATTTTGAAATCCAATATGGCAACTTTCGGTTCTTCAAAACTTTAAAATGCTAGATGTACTGTAAATTTGACGGAAATTCAGGGAAGCTCCGAGAAGTTCAGGAAAGCGAGAACTCCTGGATTATTCTGAAATTTTCAGATATGTTCCGAGAACTTGAAAATGTTGCAAGAAATTTAAAGAAATACCGAAAAAACCATTGAAATTAAGAATAATTCAAGGTCATTGATTTTCAGGAAGCTTAAGGCGAGGCTTTAGGGGAGTTTCGATAACTTAAGTTAAATTTCGAAACAGCAGGTTAGCATTTTACCAAATAAAATGACCTTCTAAGAACTCACTCAAAGTTCTCGGAACTTCCTTAAGTTCCCGTAATTTTACAGAAGTATTCGAAGCTCTCTACAAAACCCCTTTTAAGGTCTTTAAAAATCTTGGCCGTATTTGAACTCGTTAAGAGTTCCATGAACGTGCCTGAAGTTCTCGTAAATTTCCACTGAAGAATCCGTAACTTACCACAAGTTTCCATAGCATTCCTCAAATATACGGAACTTCCCTGAGGCTCACGAGACTTTTCTAATTTTATCGACACTCCCCTAAAGTTCCAGGCATAAAAAGGAATTCTCGAAACTTCGCTGAAAATTTAAGAATAGCATTCTTGGAACTTCCCTGAAAATCTTTGAATAGTTGAAGAATTCTCGGATCATCCCAGAAGTACTTGGAATATTAAAAAAAAAAAACTTTATTTTTCTCTACAACTTTGTCTCAGACGTCGATTTGATCAGAAGTGACGTTTCGTGCTACAATTTATTGAAAAATGACAAAGACGCCATTTTGAAAAAAGTACAACATCCAAAATGGCTGAATTTTTGTAAAAAATGTGAATTATTAAGAGCTTTGAGTGTGTTGGTTTATTTCCTGTAAACTCCGTTATATTTGCTTATCTTTTGACAGATACGCGTATTTCGTTTACTACTTGCAGACTTCATCACACTAAAAGCTCTTCATAAAGGGATTCCGTTAAGAGGTTCGAAAAATTTAAAAGATTGTGAATTTTTGCTCATAACACACAATTAGTGTGCAAAGTTTTATGCAAATCGAAAATGGTCAAGTTTTTCCAGATCGTCATTTGGCGTGGAACTGCTCTAGAGTGAATTCTTTAATTTCTTTAGAAAATTTAACGAGTGGCCTGCAGAGAATTGCTGGAATGGTATGTAATAAACTTGAAGGTAATACCCGAAAATTCGGAGATTCTTGGACAATTCAAAGCATTTTTTAAACTCCCTATACATCTTGAAGGGTGTCCATAAACTACGTAGATATTTTTAAGTAAGCCAGACAGTTGTTCATACAAATTTTTCTACAAATAACTCCCAGAATGCCTTTTTTTTTAACAACAAAAAGAAAAAAGCAAATTAAGTTAGGCATTGAAATTAATTTAACCCTTTGTCTCTGTCTTATTTGTTAATAACGTCCAACTGTGCAATGCCACGGTATATCGGATTGGAAACATTAGGAACAAGTAGCTCATCCCTTTTGAAATATACCGGAATTCCAAATATCCACGAATGTTTCAGATTCATGAATCTGCATAAACGAAACAATACATGTTTTCCCTTCCATGAATCACTGTGCAGCTGAACAAATTGGTTTCCACTTCCGAACAGTACACGCTCTCCCACATTGCTAACAAAGTCAATACACACATGTGAGGCCACGGCACAAATCGGAATCAATATTTTAATATTTCACTTTCCAGAAGATGAATGCATCAAAGCGGAAAAAGGCGAAAACGGTGTCAGCAACGGACCGACGGAGACGAACGCCGACGGCGACCCGGCTGAAATGGAGAAAAAGATCTGCTCACCCAATCGGTTGCGCAAACGTACCGGTTCCAGCACCGAGATGGCTGTGGATCAGCTACAGGCCAGCGAAAAGCTGATTGCCGAGCTGAACGAAACGTGGGAGGAGAAGCTGAAGCGCACCGAACAGATCCGTCTGCAGCGGGAAGCCGTGTTTGCCGAGATGGGTGTTGCCGTCAAGGAGGATGGCATTACCGTGGGCGTATTCTCGCCGAAGAAATCACCCCACTTGGTAAACTTGAATGAGGACCCAACGCTGTCGGAGTGTTTGCTGTACTACATCAAAGATGGTAAAAATATCTCTCGTTGTGTGCATAAATTGGGAAACGTAATTACACTCTATGTAACTTTTCTCATAAAGGTTTAACACGCCTCGGCACATCGGAAGCCAATGTCCCCCAGGACATACAGCTGTCGGGTTCACACATCTTAAAGGAGCACTGCGTGTTTGAGAATAAGGATGGCGTCGTAACGTTGGTCCCACATAAGGATGCATTGGTCTATCTGAACGGTAGAAAACTTGTCGAACCGGAAGTTTTGCAAACGGGATCCCGTGTCATCTTAGGCAAAAACCATGTTTTCCGTTTTACTCATCCGGAACAGGCTCGCGAAAAGCGCGAAAAACCGAAGGACAAGGATGTTGGCGAAAATCCGGGAGGCAATGGCGAAGCGGCCGATTGGAACTTTGCCCAGTGTGAACTGCTGGAGAAGCAAGGCATTGACTTGAAGGCAGAAATGCAAAAGCGTTTGTGCGCACTGGAAGAGCAATTCAAGCGCGAAAAGCTGGCGGCTGATCAGGAGTTTGAAGAGCAGCGCAAGGTAAGAAGTCAGCTGGGGTAACTGAATGAGATGAATTCTAATGCTTTCTTTCAAATGGTTAGACATACGAAGCACGCATCAATGCTCTGCAGAAGCAAGTTGAAGAGCAATCGATGACCATGTCAATGTACAGCAGCTATAGTCCGGAGGACTTCCATCAGGAAGAAGATATTTTTGGTAAGTAATCATACTAGCGTAGTAGAGTTTCCGATTAGTAACAAACATTGTTTTTCTATAGTGAATCCATTATTTGAATCATGTTGGACGGCTCGTGAAGCTGGTTTGGCAGCTTGGGCCTTCCGCAAATGGCGCTACCATCAGTTTACATCTCTTCGAGATGATCTCTGGGGAAATGCGATTTTCTTGAAAGAAGCAAATGCCATCTCTGTGGAATTGAAGAAGAAGGTAGGGTTAACGAAAAATAAATCTTTTGAAATCCAAGTGTCACTAACAAAGCTTACACGTTGCACTCCTTCTAGGTTCAATTCCAATTCACTCTGCTAACCGACACATTGTACTCACCCCTTCCGCCGGAACTTGCACCGTCTCCGATTATCGGCGGAGCTCTCACCAACGGCCAAGAGGATGAATTTGGCCAAGCACCCATTCCGCGCACTATCGTTGCCGTTGAAGTCACCGACACTAAGAATGGGGCAACGCACCACTGGAGTTTGGATAAGCTACGGTATGATTAACCAGCAATCTTTTTTCCACTCATTCTATGTGTTTCGTCTCTAGATTGATTTATTTATATAAAAAAAAAAATCACTCACATTCTTCCGTACGCCAGTTGTGCTTGGAACGCGTATACTGGCATGCAAAAATCCTCAAAGGCAAAACTTGAAACATTTCTCTCTAAATCTCATTGTACACTATCGCTCATTTTCAGTTGTACATTTTCTTCGAATTCTATTTAGTTTTCTTCGTTTCATCCTGTATCCTCTGTATTAGAATCAGACGAGAGCAATTGATTGATTTTCTTTTCTACTTTTTTTCTTTCCACTCATCTGTATCACTATCACTGTTAACTACTAATCCTATAATCAAAAAACAAAAAAACCGAACAATACTAAATCCAAACCGATCGAACCCAAACAAAATCCTTTGGCTGGCTTCCCGCCTCCCCGTTAGCTATCGTCTCGAGCTGATGCGCCAGATTTACAATTCCGCTGAATCGTCACCGGAGATTTTGCGCTACAATATGCTAGAGCATCCCGGACAGGACACCATCGGACACAGTGCAAACAATTACCAACGACAGCAATCGGCTGCAATTGCTGCTTTTGTGCCAAATTGCGACGTTCATAATGTGCTAGGGTCAACAACGGACGATGATTGTTCCGGGGACTGTTTGACGTCACTGGCGAATGCTGGCGGCAACAATGGATTTCGTAACAGTGGACGGCTTATGCTGGCGAATTTAATGCCCTCTAGGTTAGAAGCGAACATGTGTCACCCTCAGAAAGAGAGAGAGAGAGAGAGAGAGTATATAACACGCATCAGTCGAATTTTTAGCAACCGATACAGTCACGGCAGATAGGGATTTGTACAGAGTATTGAATAGAGCACGTGCAAACCAGTCTGTCCGCGTTGCATCAGCTGCAGCTTTCTATCAATATATACCAATCAATGATATACGCAAGCTTTGCCATACGCTAAAAGTTGCATTTCGGTGTTTTTCTTTGTTTATTTTTTTGTGATACTTTCCACATTTTTGTATTGATTTTTTTTTTCTTTTTGCCTTCCGTACTCCGTCTGATATTTTATTCAATAGGTGTTTCATTTATATGTATTTTTATCCAGTTTAATTGTTTATTCATTATTCACTCAACGAACACCTAAAACCAACTGATCGAACCGATTATATTTCAGTTGCACATTGCGACATTGTGTCCACCTACATCGAAGTGTTGCATGGAACATCACGCGACTCCATGAAGCATACCAAATCAATTATAATTTTTTCATATGACATCTAAATTCAATGAATTTTCAGAGTTGGTTGGAAATGCTATCTGTGGATTTGTTTGTTCCAGAAAATCCCATTTGAAAAGTTTCTTTGATGTTACAAAAGAGTCTCTTGGATGTGAGGAAGATGAATCATTTTTCTGCACTTCGTTGGTTTTGGGTGGATAGCAAAAAGGACGCTTTCCTAGCTGCTATGCACGATTCGTTGATATTTCAAGACTTCATTTCTCCATTGCCGTGAAGGTGGATTATTCCGTGCTCCTAAGGCGAGAGTACTTTATCTCTTCAGAAATTCTAGACGAAGAGAAAGTCATTAAATAGTTTTGTTATCGTATTTTTGTTGAAAAAATGTATAAGATTTAAAAAAAATCAGTTCCAACATTTCAAAATTTGTCTTGAGAAATATTGTGACGGACCGTACACACTGACGGTACACACAATTCCGCGCACTGATTTGAGCAATGTTGGTATTTCCGCTCATTAATGCAACTAATTCCGTGAATTTTTATTATTCTATGCTTGGTTTCAATTTGCTTGAAAATCTTGTAACCTTTTAAGGATACTATTTTTCATTACAATGTTCTAAAATGATCGATTCTGTGCTGTAAATCGCCAATTATTTAATAATTTGATTGAACCAGTCAATCACAGAATGTAAGCATCAGGGTAACCACCCACCGGAAAAATCACGTCCTTGCAACTGCTGTCCAAGTAACAATTCAAGCTGAACAGTAAGAACAGAAGTTGATTATTAGTTAATTTAAGGTGTACCAAGCTGATTAACACCAGGCTGAATATATAGTTAAACAGTAGTACATAAAGCGAATAGTATGAGTATCCCCATAATTTGACCTCATTAAGTTAGCTGAACTAAAGACTTATTTAAGCCTAACACTACTCCACAAATCAGCAATGCGCTACAAATATTGTTATAGCATGGCAGAACAATAAGAATCTATTGCACAATATTGTTCCATGTCGTCAGTGTCATGCGTAGCAATTCTGGCATTTCAGTTCTTCTAAATTCACTGCCTACCTTTCTCATCCCAAGCAAAGCTAACAGTAGAGACAAGGAAGATGAGCTTTTTAGGAATATCTTCAGGAAGATGTAGACTATGCACTTATGCATTACTAATCAACTATATATTCAGCCTGGTGTTAATCAGCTTTGTTCACCTTAAATTAACCAATAATCAGCTTCTATTCTTACTGTTCAGGTTGAATTGTTACTTGAGAGCTGCTTGGCTTTCGGTGGATAAAAATCACCAGATTTAGATGTTTCAAAGCTGAACTAAGGTAAACGTGGTTTATGTACAACAATTACCCAAACTACGGCTGAATTAAAATCGTTGAAACAACACTAGTTAAGCATCAAATTGTTACCTGGGTGGGGATGGGAAGGAGTGTTAGTTGGACATATACTTAAGAGAAATGCAGAGAACTCTACGACGTCTCATAAGTGTTACAGGAGTTGGGATGTTTGTTAGTGGGCAGGTTAAAGCCATAGGATACGTTCAGTAAACGTTGCTGGTAGATTTATAATAGCAATGGGGATATAAATAAGGCATAGTGAAAAAAATGCACGAAAGGGGCGGGCTGGGATTCAGGGATGTCAGATTTGAAGATATGTCTTCATTTTAAAGACTTTTGAAATTCTGTGAAGTCATTTCCCTCAACATTTTGACGACATTCAATGATTTGTGAAGATTGTTGAAGACTTGTTGAAATCGAAGGAGAATTCCGAAATTTTTTTTTTTTAATTTCAAGCAGATAAGTGAAGATTTTTGCTATACACAGCAAAGCATATCATAATATGTAACAACGTAATTCATGTTGACGCATAACATATTCATGTTATTGTAAAAATCAAAAACCATATTACATTCATGAATGTAAATTTGTTCGCGAATTCTGTGTACACCATACAACGTAATATTACACATCCGATGGAATGACGTATGTGCATCTGTTTCTGTGTAATATTCATCCACATTTTTGTTGTATAAAAATGAAGGTTTTGACTTCAAAGTTTAAGCTCTGTCGGGATGTTAATTATCAATAATGCAAACAATGTTTTCAAAAAAATATCTACAGGACTTTACTGAAATCTTCGTTTATTTGGAGATCTGTTGTATATTTCCTGATCAACCTGCCATTTATGGATAATATCTTAAAGAATATCCTATAACTTTTGCAACGTTCCCAGAACATTTGCAAAATTCCAAAGTTCTTAAAGATTTTTTCAACTTCTACGAAGTTCCCTGAACTTCTTCCAACGCTAACCGAGCTTCTACAAAACGCTTAAATGTTCAACGAATATTACTGAACATCTGGAATGTTCCATGATAAACGAAGTTCATTGAGTTTTTTTTAAATTAAAATCTATGACAAACTGCTACAAAGCTCCCAACCTGAAACGAAGATCGCTGATGTTCTTTAAAGCTGGCTGAACTACGAAATCCCCAGAACTTATTCAAAATTCGCTGAGCATCAATGAAATTTCACGAAGTTCCTCGTATTGCTTAACTTCCAAATAGTTTGTGGCACTTCTACGAAATTTGCTGTATTTTTACGTTCCTCGTTGTTTTTTTTCGCGAAATTCCACGAAGTTTCTACAACATTCCGTGCACTTCTACGAAGTTAACTGAAGTGCTTCTAAGTACTTCGATGAGCTTCTAAAAAGTTAGATGAACTGCTACTAAATTTGCTGCACTTTTAGAGAGTTTCCCTGAACATTTACGATCTTCCTCGAACTATTAGATGCTCCCCAAACTATTAAGGATTTCCCTGAAATCAAATGATGTTTCCTTAATTTTCTTGAACTTCTATTAATCTGTATATTTAATAAATCTAGACAACTCCCACCTGGACGTTAGTATTATTATTATTTAGCTTTATTAAGGAGGCTTTCAGCCTTGGGCTGGTTCGCCTCCAAATCCTGGACGTTAGTTTGACAAGTAGAAGTTAACCCTAATAAGCAAATACCATAAATAAACTGTATCCCGGATGGGTAAACCATCCGAAAAATGGTTTGGATGATACCCCGAACACGTTGTTAGCCTCTCTTTTATGGTTATTTTTAGTAGGGAAGACATTTGAAGACAGTTTGCCAATTTCGATGAAGATTTTTTCTAAAAACACCTGGCCTGCTGGGATTGAACTCCCGACCACGGCTTACATATACCAGGCTAGCTAATTAGAGAGTAAACATAAACCGAAGTAGGCCGAAGTGACGTCATCAGAATCGTTAAAGTAAATAGATAAGGATACATTTGTTTCACAGCTCTCGGTTTTTAGACGTACCAGACGGGATTTGAATTCATCAGGGTTTTGGCACATGGTGGCAAACCCGGAACTCAAGCAGCTCTAAGAAATAGCATTTGGGCGGCAGCAGTTCTCTTTCTTTGACATTGAATATCCAACACAAGGTTGAGTATCGTAGCCGGTCCCTCGCTTCGGGTGGTACCCGATGAGATCCTACGAGGTGGGAAAAGGGGTGGAAAGCCGAGTCACCACGGTCGCCACATTCGAAGGCAAGAGGCAACAATCCGATTGCTTTTTAAACCGGCGATTTCATTGTTGTAAAGGGCGAACATGAAATTATTGCAACACTTACAACCAGGCATGGAAAATCATTTGCATTCATTTCGTGTATTCATTTACAGTCATTTGCCTCTAACTTTTTTTTTTCAACAGCATTCCGCAAAATGATGTATAGAGCTTTTGTAGGTTTTGTCAACCAGATTTTTTATCTGATAAATACGTAAAAAATTAGAGCAAATTAAATGTGTTGCAATAATTTCGTGTTCGCCCTTTATTTTCCATTGAATTTAATGTGGTACTCATAAAGTTTATCTGATTTTTAGACCACAGATGTATAATTTTCCTTAGAAAAGTTTTAAAATGGATGTATACGGCGAATGAGAACGACCCAAATTTGAGTTTGGTTCACTCATAATCGCCAAAAGTGCAGGAACTCAGCGAAGAGTAAATTTGCCTCAGGGTTTCCTATGGAAAAACTTAAAAATCTGCCGGAAAATGAGGGAATGGACGAAAAGTTTATTCAGTCTAGGAGTAGTACCAATAGACCAATCGACTAAGTGAATCCAATCTTTACTTTTCTCATATTCGGGATATATGGGAAACATGAGGCAAATTTACTCATCATTGAGTTTCTGCACTTTAAGTGATTTATGAGTTAACTAAACTCAAATTTTGGTCGTTCTCATTCGCCGTGTATATTGACAATGAAAACTTGTTTGTTTATTTTACCGATTCTAATGACGTCACACACAAAATGACAAGAGCGGAGTAGCTAGCCTGGTATATGTAAACCGTGCTCCCAACCGTCTGACCAGTAACCAGAAACGATTATAGTCGCTATATTTATAGTCTGGCGGATAGAATTTCAATCTATAAAAAATCGGAACCAATATATTGTAGACCAACAATTGAAAAAGTGCACA